GTACACTACGCCACACTACTACACACTACTACACTACACGTACTACACTACCGACCTACACACACACGTACACACACCTACACCACACTACACACACACACACACACACACACACACACACACACACACACACACACACACACACACACATACACACACACACACACACTCGCACGCGCACACATCACACACACACGCACACATACACATGCACGCATTTTGCTTCCTCTCGTTCACACGCATTGTCTGGCCCTTCAGCCTCTCTCCCTATGTCTTTACTTCTCTCGCTCCCGCTCTCCTCTCACCCTCTTTCTCTTATAATCTCATTTACTCGTGCACTCTCTACCTCCCTCTTACGCTCTTTTTATCCCTCTTAGCTTCGTACACGTATTGAACTTCGCTCTCTTTCCTTTCACAGTGGCAACAACGACTACAACAACAACAGTGGAACCGGCCGCGAGCACAAAAACACTACCGCCGCCGTCGCCGCCGACAACAGCAACGACAACAACGACGACGACGGCGGCGGCGGCGGCGGCGGCGGCGGCGGCGGCGACGACGTCGACGATGGTGAACGGAAGCCTGAGCGGGTCGCAGGAGGACAACGCGCGCGGTGCCGCGGCCCACAACATCACCGCCGGCAACAGCACGCGCGACGACTCTCCCGTCATCATCAACATCACGGACTCGACGCCCGTCGACGACGCCAGCGACAACGCGCGACAGGCGGCGTGGAACGACGTGCGCGACGACGCCGACGGCGACAAGTCGACGTCGACAAAGTCGTTCATGCTTCCCGTGACGTTAATGAAGGACTACCTTAGTCCGACGATGATAAAGTCGAAATTCGAGGGCGTGCGTCGGAGCCGGTTAGCCAGCGGCGACGGCGGCGGCGATGACGGAAAAAAATCGGACAAGAAAAGTGCGTCGAACGGTGTGTTTCTGGGCGACGAAGCGAGCCTGTTCGGAGCGCCGCGAGATAGCCTCATCGAATTCGCCGACGAACTGGACGCCGACGCAAACCATAGTTTTATACAAACTCATTTCATGTCCATCTTTCAGCCGACGGATAACAAACTCGCGATGAAACTTTTCGGCAGCAAAAAGGCGCTGATGAATGAGAAGATGCGCCAGAAAGCCGCCGGACAATGGATCATTCATCCGTTAAGCAATTTTAGGTGAGAAATTCTATGAGCTCTCTGCATCGTCCTAAACCCGTCTTTATGAAGGTCTTCCTAATGAATGTAGAAAACTGATTGTCCACGGGTTATAGCGGGCTTCCTTATTCACATTTCCTTCCACGCACAACGAACGATATTTCCGCATTGCGATGTTATTCAATATTCTATACCAGAGAGAGAGAGAGAGAGAGAGAGAGAGAGAGAGAGAGAGAGAGAGAGAGAGAGAGAGAGAGAGAGAGAGAGAGAGAGAGAGAGAGAGAGAGAGAGAGAGAGAGAGAGAGAGAGAGAGAGAGAGAGAGAG